GACACTCCTTAAAGCGCTGCGTACGGGCTGGTACTGGCTTCTTACCGGTATGCTGTACCGGCCCGGCCTGGCCCACTTTCACCCCTGAGCTTCAGAAAACTGAGCCAGCAAAGGAAGATGAGAGAGCACTAGGGCAGGCCTGCGGTTCACATTTCACATACTCCTCTTCTGTGACTATAGTTCAAAATTTCTAATGCAAATTATTAAATTCCTGTTATGAAATATTACAGGAGCTTTTGATGGTCACTGTATTGTACCTGAAAACTCAATTCCTCATAACATTTCTGGAGACATACTTCATTCACTAGAACTGCAGTTGAAAAGTTTGTTTCCGTTTGTCTGTAGCTGATTGCTGCTGCAGAACACTAACAAGCCATGTGGTTGGAGCTGGGTTCAGTATATATCCTGGTGTTAAGTAGAAAGTGGTGAATGCAATGCTGTTTGCGGTGTGATATAGTTACGAACAAAGGGTTAGTAAACTTTTTTTACAGACAGCTTTATACTGCCAGTCTTTATAAAATTTAACGATCTGTTAGAGCCATTAATCTCCTGCTGTGGCATTACCTTCTAGTGTCAGGATTAGACATTTAATTCTCTACATGACTTTAAGCAGCACAGAGACATTTGGTTCTAAAATTGTTATACAGCAATGAAAAGCATCATTCTGGAATGTGCAATTAGAGCTGTGAATCAACAATGATAAAGTAGACCCCACTAGTGCTTAGAATGGGAGAACCCCCAGCTATGAACAACAGTAACTTACTCTGTGCACCATAAACTGACTTCATTGATTGTATTAGGTGGGGAATAAAATGTGCCTTGTGGTAGACTGTTCATGATTTTAAAAGAATATTTGCATGCTTTGCTTACACGTCACATCTCTGTGCTTGGCTGATACATCAACTTTTTTGGATTTAATTTGATTAACTTTGCATTTAACATACTCGATTTAATAACAATGATTTTCATTTAGATGCCACCCTCTATTAGTAAGTAGAACTTTACCCTGTAATTAATAGAAACCACGCTCATTTTGAAGCCACCCTTGATTTTAAACTACAAGGAGGGAGAATTTAATATAAGACACAGCTTCTAAATGGCAATATACAGTACAGTGTTTGCATCTGCATCAGGGAAGCTCTTAAGGAATTGTAGAAGAAAGTAGCTCATCTTTATATGATCACAAGATCCGATGAGCTGTCCATCTTTTGTTAAGTAATTTCCTATAGATTAATCTTTCCTTATGCTATCACTTTTTATATGCCCATTTAAATACAAGTTTTTTGCATTTCCCTTTGAAAGAATGGCATCCATGCAAAACTTTAAATACTCTTCATTCATGAACCATCACTTTGGCTGGACTTTGCTGCAGGACCTAGAGGAAGATACAAGATTAGCTTTTCCAGCAGTTATTTACATTGATAAATAGCCCTAATTGGATACAATAGACTGGTAGTGCTGAGCTAATACCTTTAAATGTCTTGTCTTGTGCCATTAATATTACCTTGTCATGCACCTGTTTAAGCTATTGGAAGAATGCCTTATGTTCATAGTCTGTCACATTTAACAAATGATTTTGTCAAGTCATTCCTTATAGCCTGTGCTGATGGATAGTTAAACTTGTGGTTTCCTGCATATATAAAAACTGTTATCTGTACCTTTCAACTTCCATGCAAGGGCATCCAAAAATTCAGATAATCAATTTATAAAGAAACTACAATGACTCTCTACATGAGGGTTCAGAAATATGTTACTGACATCTATGAGTAATAGCACATAAACTAAACGAGGATTTACTAAATTTATATTTATCAAATCAGCCACGATGCAGAATGCTAACAGTTCAGTTTTTGCAAAAAGAACAGGAGTACTTGTGGCATCTTAGAGACTAACAAATTTATTTGAGCATAAGCTTTCGTGGGCTAAAACAGTTGACCAGACACCTGTGAGGACCTTTTTGTCAACTGCTGGAAATGGGCCATTTTGATTACTACTACAAAAAGTTTTTTTTTTCTCTCCTGCTGGTAATAGCTCACCTTAACTGATCACTCTCGTTATAGTATGTATGGTAACACCCATTGTTTCATGTTCTCTGTGTGTGTGTGTATATATATATATATATCTTCCTCCTGTATTTTCCACTGCATGCATCCGATGAAGTGGGTTTTAGCCCACGAAAGCTTATGCTCAAATAAATTTGTTAGTCTCTAAGGTGCCACAAGTACTCCTGTTCTTTTTGCGGATACAGACTAACACGGCTGCTACTCTGAAAACAGTTCAGTTTTTGTGACTGTGGACTCAGGACCCTCGTATCCAGCTCTAATCATAAGTTAGATGTTCATTACTGTATAAATAAATCCTATATTTACAGTATTAAGGTCCAAACTGCAGTTATCTGATGATCTCCTTTTTCATTGACATCTAATGTGTTTTTTAAGAGTAGAGGTACTTGATACTACCAATGAAAATCAATGGTGTATTTTTAGATATTCTTACAGATTTAATGTTATATGGTAAGAGAGCATCACGACATAGTCAGAAATATAATACTGCATTGGCCAGAGTAAAAATTGTATTGTTCGTATCTTAGATTCCAAGGCCAAAAGGGACCATTGTGATCATGTACTCTGACCTCCTGTATAACACAGGCCAGGGAACTTCCCCAAAATAATTCCTAGAGCAGATCTCTTAAAGGAAAAAAAAAAAACCATCCAATTTTGATTTTAAAATGATCAGTGATGGAGAATCTGTCACGACCCTTGATAAATTGTTCCAATGGTTAATTACTCGCACCTTAGTTCTAGCTGAATTTATCTACCTTCAATTTCCAGCCATTGGATCAGGTTGGCTAGACTGAAGAGCCCATTATTAAGTATCTGTTCCCCATATACCTATTTATAGATTGTAATCAAGTCACCCTAATCTTCTCTGTGTTAGACTCAAAGAGCTTATTTTAGCTTATCATTATAAGGCAATGAATACCCCCATTTAAATCAATGAAAGTTAGGCACCTCCCACTAGGCTCCTATCTGCTTCTGTATACACCTAAATACCTTACAAAAATCTGATAGTGACTGAAGACTTGTCGGCCTCATAATGCACCTTAGGTTTTGTGATACTATGGAGTATCACCTGCCCTTTCATATGTTATTTTATATTAAATTTTCAATGTTTTAATATTCTATTATGTATTTATTTATTTTATTTTAATTATTTACTAGTGCAGTACCTAGGAGCCCCAATCAGGAACCAGAACCCCACTGTGCTAGGCACTGTACGAGCAAAGAACAAGTCAGTCTCTGCCCCAAAGAACTTACAATATAAATATAAGACAACAGATGGACACAGACAGACAGAGGAGAACATGGAAATATGAGACAGTATTGGTCCACATCATAGGCAGTGGTCATAGCTGTCAAGTTTTTTTTTATGAAAAAGTTTGATCATAGAAGATCAGGGTTGGAAGGGACCTCAGGAGGTCATCTAGTCTACCCCCTGCTCAAAGCAGGACCAATCCCCAGTTAGATTTTTGCCCCAGATCTCTAAATGGCCCCCTCAAGAATTGAACTCACAACCCTGGTTTTAGCAGGCCAATGCTCAAACCACTGAGCTATCCCCATCCCCAATTATGTTGAAGCACTTTAATCAACTTGGCAGGGCAATATAATATCTCATTTTTATTACTCTATTACTAATTGTGGTTGTGTTATTTTAATTGTCATCATTTTAGCAAAGGAAACATTACATTGCCTTTCAAACCACTCAGCTTTGTTAATGGCGCTTGCGTTTTCCATACCAGATAATGGATGGAGTGGTCACCTGCAATATTTTGGTTTCTCTTTTCCCTTTGAAGAAAAACCGCACACAAGTCAATGCAGCTGAACTCCACAGGGCTCTTGAATCCTCTTTTTATTGCAGCTACCGATATAGTAATTATCTGTGCAATTTTGAGCATTGATGGGACCTCAGCTAGTTAAAGCTTTCTAGTGTGGATTACAAAATTGAATGATTACCTTAATTGACCTTCAATCTAGCTACAAAATATATCACTTAATGAGACTAACGTCTGGTTGGACCTTCAGGCTAGATGTCTCCCAGCCTGGTGGCTTTGAGTTTGCAATTTTTCATTTTTAATAACAATTATACCCAAAAGCTTAAGGAAATATGCTAAAATATGTCTGCCATCCACACTATCATAGAGCAGTGACATCTCCATGAAACATTATTTAAGATTTCAATCACATTTTTGTGCATTTTACAGATACTAGGAAAGTCTGACATTGATTAGTACTTTGCAGAATGGCAGAGGGCAAGTTTGTGCCATCACCCTTAAAGTAGTGGGCTGTGGTTTTTTTTTTCCCCCCCAAACATCTGGGTATTTTTTTTAAGGAAGAACAGGTGTTTAATCTTTAATGGCTTCTGTTTTTTCATTAAGAATACATTTTCTATACGCTTGTTAATCCTGCCTATGAAATGCATGGGAAAGTTTTCAGATTGTTCACACTAGAGATTCGCTAATGAAAATGAGACACCATGCATGTGCTAAGTGTAATACTGAGTACAGATTTTACACGAGGTCTGGAAATACACTGGCCAATATTTTAAAAATGATTGCCTAAAGTTAGGCTCCTAAATCTACATTTAGGCTCCTAAAAGACCTGACCTGACTTTTAAAAGTGTTGGGTACCTACCAGCTGCCATAGACTTGCAATCCCATATGTGCGTAATGCTTGTCCAGCTGGATAGTCCCATGAAAGTCAGTGGAATTGCTTGAGTGAGTAAGGATTGCAGAACCAAGCCTTTAGTTATGGACATTTAAGTGCTACCAAAAATTCCTACAAATCAAAAACAAATGCTACAAATCCATAAATACTATAAAAAAAAAAGTTGTACGACATTGAGATATTACACGTACTCAACTATAACTCACTGATCAATATGCTGGAAATGTGTATTGATAACTCTTCAGTTACTTACTGCTCCACTTTCTTTTAACACAGCTACGGAAGGCAGTGATGGATCATATATCTGACTCATTCCTGGAGACCAATGTTCCATTACTTGTTCTTATTGAGGCTGCAAAGAGTGGTAACGAGAAAGAAGTGAAGGAATACGCTCAAGTTTTCCGTGAACATGCCAACAAGTTAGTTGAGGTAAGTTATGCTGTTGGCGGCATTAGAGTGCATTGCCTTGTGAGGGTCAAGGAAAATGATAAATTAGCTGAAATGTTGCAGTCTTTTCGTGTGGGATTTAAGCAATTTGAGGTTTACTTGTGATGGTTATTTAGAAATCTACTGATTTGTAAAAATGACAGGCAGGGACAGCCCTGTGCTTTACTGTAAGATTAAACCAGCTGAACATGTGTTATGCAGAATTTCCTGTGTCTTGTCAATAGTAACTTGAGTAACAGCAAGCAGATTTCAGTTAAACTTCACCAGCAGTGCAGTATAGCAGGCTGTCTTCTATACCAGGCAGGAAGCCAAATAGATGCTTCAGTGTGTTGTATCTGACTGTGATTGCTTAGAGAGCACACTAGATTATTATTAGACTGTCTAGCTAAAATAGTGAAAGCATCATAAAATGGGTAATAGTCTAAAACTGGTCATCTCCCCCACCCTGTGTGTGTGTATTATATATTATATAGTGTGTATGTAAGTATATTGTTTTGTATTAGTACACACACACACACACACACACAAACTGGGTTTCTCTATGTTATTCTTCTCTCTGTATCGACACTTTGCAATGTTAGCAAACTAACTGGTTTCAAGGATAGTACTGCAGTGATTTTGTTCCTGAAACTGCCTCTTTCAAGTTATAATTCAAACAAAACATAATGGTCAGGAACCTCGATGACTTTTTAACTAGTCAAACATGTTTGTTCAGCCAAGTTTGCTCTCCATGACAGATTAAGAACTATTAAAAATTTTCATTTCTTGAAAATACAAATACTGTTTAGTGTTTGATATTATATGGGGTTATTAACTCCTCTTTACTAGCCCTCTTTTGAAGACTACGCAGCTCATAGTAACATCTTTTTATAACAATTCATGGTACATGCATTTTAATTAAAATTAATTCTTGGATAGTGCTGATTTGACAGGGAATATTGGGTTATAATTCTGAAAGATTATGTTTCTTAAAAACTGCAGGGACAGATTCTGATCTCACTTACATTGGTTGGTTTAAACTAAAGTTATCCATCTAACTGAGATCAGGAACTGATACTTATTGTTTAAAAACTCGGGGTTTGATTCTAGACAGTGCTGGGCGCCTACTACAATATGCTGAGTATCAGCATCTGCAATGGGAGAAGAGGGAACTCAGCACCTTGCAGGGTTGGGTGCTTTGCATTAAGATAAACATGTATATTATTGCTATCTGGTGACTGGTGCAGTAGCAGTGAAAAAGAAAATAGCCTCTAGGTACTTTCATTTTAATTCTGCAAACATTACGACTGTGTTATGATTCTGAATCTATGATCATATTACACCGTTCATTTTTGTACAATGCTGCTTTTGTGAACCTGGCTTACTATGTTGTATTGCACTCTTGATGACAATGGGATGAAGTACCATAGTAAGTAGCAAACTGAACAGTAGCCTTATATGTTTTAGTATTATAGCAGCCTCAATCACAATTCTGTAGACATGGGTCTAACTGCATTGTTAAAGTGTAACACCCGACAGACCCCAGTTGTTGGCAGGCGGGATAGAACCTGAGACCTCTGGAGCTTAATGCATGAGCCTCTACCGCATGAGCTAAAAGTTAACTGACTTTATATATATAAATCCACCTGTCTGTTTTAAAGTTTCATGCTTTTGTAACTCACAGATCTCCTGGGTGTGGTGTTCTGTCCCATCTAGTGGCAGTGAGGGGGGGACGAGAGAGAGAGGGGGACAGAACACCACACCCAGGAGATCTGTGGGTTACAAAAGCATGAAACTGTAAAACAGACAGGTGGATTTTTAAGAGATGGAAACTGAAAGTGAAAAAAAATAGCAGTTAAAGGCCAATGTTTTCAAAAAGAAGCTGCTCAAGTTGGGTGCCTAAATATGAGTTTGGGAGCCTAATGTGTCACTTAAATTTGGGAGCTAACTTTAGACATGCATTTTTCAAAAGAAATCTGAGCCTGTATTTAGTGTACTCTTCTACATCCCAGTAACTCAGAAAAGGATTTCTTCATGCCCGTAGTACCTATTTTTCTAGGCTATTGGGGCAGATCAATAGAGCTGTGACGCTTTTTTTACACCAGATGAGGATCTGCTGCTTAGCTTTTAGACAGTGCTTGAGTCTGAAATTTCCACCCCAAACCTGCAGGGGATTTTCTGCTCTGCAGGGTAAAAAAAAACCAAGTTCATGTTATGGATACTTCCTTCTTGAAGGGTAGGTAGAATTCTGAACTTCAGGTGAGTAGGTTCATTGGAAAATATGCCCCAAGAGAACATGTCAAGTTGAAATCATGGCTTACTGCCCATATACAGTAGTATATTCAGCTAAAATGTTCTGATCATTTTTTATTTAGAGATGCATAAGGCATGTCATAGCAGCCAAGCTTCTGTGGTTGCTTGTGTCACTTATTTTGCAAATAAAAAATAGATGGCAGTGCTGCCCATCACACTTACAAAATGTGATTTAAAGATGATATGTTCATGATTAAGGAGCTAAAGATTCTCTCACAGGCAGAGGGCCAATGTCACCCTTGGTGTAGACAGGCGCAGCTCCAGTGAAGTCACTGGAGTTGTGCCTACTTATGTCAGAGAGGAATTTGGCACCAGGCTTCACTACAGTCTCGGTCCGTGACTCTGGAGCCTGATTCTTCATTCCTTGCAAATCCTACTGAGTTTAATGGGTGTTTTGGGTACATGCAGAATGCAGGCTCAGAACAATATGTACTTGTGTAAGTGTGACATTTTCGTAGACGTTTGGCCAGCCAAAGGGGAGGGATAATTTACTTTACGTGTATTCCAGTACTTTTCTATAAATTACCTTTCTTCAAAGATCTTCTGCAACATGCACTATAAAATCCTGCATTAAGGCCTGTGTTGACTATTTCTGTCCCTTTTATGAGGGAGCGGGGTCAACACTTCGCCGCATTCGGGAATAGTAACCTCCAAATGGCTTCCCACTACCTTCTTTACCTGGATTACGAGTGATCATCTTACTAACTATAAATAGCTTTACCTAATGAGAAATTAATGTTTTGCTAAAATGTGGGAGTACCAAAATCTAACATTAAATAACACTAATCAAGGGGAAATACTTGCCAAGTGTCCAAAATGTATGCCCTACTTCAACACTTGTACGTTTTTCTAAACTGTATTACAGAATGTATTTTCATTTTGTGGGAGTTGGGTGCCAGCCTGTGTAGATACTTCTGAAAACCCCACCAGGCACTTATTTGCAGCTTTAGACACCTAAGTACCTTTGAAACATTGGCCCTTGGAAGATCTCATTTTCAGAAGTGACTTAGACACTTAGCAACCTAAGTCTTATGAAAAGTCACTGGGATGTAGACTCCTAAGTGCCTAAGGCCTTGTCTACACAGTGCAGCAATGTGCACCAGAGGAAGGTGAATTCTAAAGCACACCAATGTGTTGCACACTAACTGGCCCATGTAGACCATACTAGTGTTCTCTAGTCTGTGTGGGACAGTTAGTGTGCAACACAGTGGGTTTTAGAATTACCCCTCTTCTGGTGCACATTGCTGCACTGTGTAGACAAGCCCTTGGTTATTTTTTTAAATGGAACTTCAACTCATAAGTCACTTTGGTGCTTTTGAAATTTTTTCCTCTCACGATTGAAAGCCACTAAACTCCCGAGTTCTATCCTCAAGTCAAAGTCTGACCTTGGAAAAGTCATTTAACCTCTGTGTTTAGGTTTCCTCATTTGTAGCATAAGGATAATGATAAATAATAATACCTACCCTCAAAAAGGTGTTTAGATGATTAATTAGCTAATATTTATTCAATGCTTAGTTAGATGCAAAGCATTATATTAATGCTAATTAATTGATGTTTTATTATTCTCTGTTGAGTACTATTCTTTCTGGTTAACTGTTAGGTCTCTGAAGTTTCAGTCATACATTGATATTTTTCACAATACTTTTCACAGTAACTTGTCCAAAGCAGGTAGATTTCCTGGGCAATCAGAACCAATAGCCAATTCATTCTCAAGAACAGAATTATCTGCAATGTGACAGGTTCACTAATACCTATGAAAATGCAAGATATAGGGCCACATTCTCATCTTAGGGTATGTCTACACCCAGCCGCTAGTTCGGTGGCTGGCAATCGAAGTTCTGGGTTCGACTTATCGCGTCTGTCTGGACGCGATAAGTCGAACCAGGAAGTGCTCGCCGTCGACTGCGGTACTCCAGCTAGACGAGAGGAGTACCGCGGAGTCGACGGGGGAGCCTGCCTGCCGCGTGTGGACCGAGGTAAGTTCGAACTAAGGTACTTCGAACTTCAGCTATGTTATTCACGTAGCTGAAGTTGCGTACCTTAGTTCGATTTGGGGGTTTAGTGTAGACCAAGCCTTAGCTACACAGATGTAAATCAGTGGACTTATTCTGTGTTCATATCTTCGTAATAAGAATCAGAATCTGTCCCACAGTGCATATGTTAATGACAGAAGTCAAGGAATGTAACACAATGTACATTCTGCAGCTACTTTTCCAACTTAAATAATTGGAAGGTTTTACGTTACAACTAGTAAATAGCATAATTATTTATTTCTGAACAGTATTTTTGAAAGTGAGTGTAATGCTCATGAAATGTGCAGCCCTATCAGTGGCATTGCTTTCCCACACATCTCTCAACCAGGACTTGGAAATACTATGAATAGAGACGGGAAAGGATAGGTCAATCGCCACTCATATTCAGTCGGGCCTCCCTGCTAGTGAATAAGGATGTCAATTAGTGACATGATGTGGTCACATGTCCACTTTGAACTACAGAGAAGTCACCAATTTCATGTGATGTGGAACAGGCACTGTACAATAATATCTTTCGGGCACTACCAGTGCTGGATTTGAACCATAAACCTAGAGGTGAAAAGACTGCTCTATAAACAATTACAATTTTTCTTAGCTCCCAATAGAAGTAGCAAAAGAAAAACAGATACCCAATGAAATTAATAGGCAGCAGGTTCA